AATTTCTTGATTTTTGGCAATTTTAAGTCTTTTAAAAGTATGTGCTTTATTTCTAAAATGTTTACATGGACTGGCCCCCCCTCCCTTAGGGGAATTCATCCACAAAAAAAACACTGGACGCTGCACTAGGTCAGAAACCAGAGGAGACTGAAGTCCACTGCAGACGGACCACTTTTGGACAAAATCTCGATTAAAAGGCAGCTCATTCTGGAATAGCCTCCCAACTGAGATACGGGATTGTCCCACTCTCAATAGCTTCAAAGGTCAACTGAAAGAATGGTTGAGAAACAACCAGACGTGTAATCACCGCTAAATGCACTTTAACACAGGGGTATCTCCTCTTGCACTTTATGCATCTCTTGTATCATCTCTTGCACTTAATATGTCGTTGCTGCTATATTGTACTGCCATGTGGTAAATACTTGTGTGTGCTGCTCTTGCTCTTTTGCATATCATGTTTTTTGCTATGTTTACAAATGTCATGTTCGTATGTCAGGGACTACGGATGGAAATGAGCTCAAAGCTAAAATCCGGCATATTTACTACACTTGAAGCATTATTTGTCTAAAGTGTTCATTAATGTGCATTGTCCCTATTCAAATAAACGATTAAATGAAATGAAAAACATCCAACTCACCATGATGAAGACCTGGTCCTGAATGCGTTTGTCTCCCTTGGCGTCTGCCAGCTCCTCCAGGCTGTGGAGGCCTTGCTGGATGGACTGCAGGGAGCTCTGGAGGTGACTGAGTTTCTCCTCTAGTCCTCCCAGAACCCTTTTCTCCTCCTTTGCCACACACTGGAGAGCTGACTGCTCCTCTTGCTCCAGCGCCTCTCTGATGGCTCCGTACTGCTGCTGCACCCCCGTTCGAGCCTTGCTTAAAACCACCTGGACACACAATGACAACCAAAGTCAAATAATGAAATTGTTAATTCCTTTATATCTTCTCTTTGCAGTTAGATGTCTCGGAAGTCCATTTTTTTGTCTACAATGCAATCAACAGATTTGTTTTCTAAAGTAACTATTTCCTCAAATCAGAACACACTTCAATAATGACCATGAGATCGCCATATATCAGCCTAAAAGTAAATTATGTTAAATGTATACATTTTACTTTCTCTACTTGAACATAGGGCTGCTCGATTATGGCAAAAATCATAATCTAAATTATTTGGGTCAATAATTGATATCACGATTATTAAAAACGATTATCCATTTACTTTGAAAACATCAAAAAAAATTGGTTTTATAATAATAATAAAAATAAATCGTTATATTTAGATCACATTGTTTTCGTAATCGTTGCAAGCCATAATCGTAATTGCAATTACTTGAACATTGACAACATTAGAAGGACAGGTGAAAGGAAATCTTGGGCATGGTACACGTGACATGATAGTTTTTTGTAAGGCAACGCATTGTTTCTCTAGCACAATAATATCCTGAAGTATGTGATAAACCATTATTTTCAAATCTGAGTGCATGTTTGAGATTGGAGGGAGGATCTGTGAATTTGCAATATGCGAGATCATGCAAGTGCAACCCGGTTCTAGGTTAGGCTTGTGAGACTCCTGTTGTCTGAGCCCAGCTTTAGAAAGCACACATGATTAAGGGAGACCTTTAGAACTTTAAAGAATTTAAAGAATTTAACTTTCATGCCAACAAAGCCCCTTTGAATTGAATTGAATTGAACTAAACTTACACTGAAGGTCTCTTTCTTCTGTGTGAGATCGGTCGCAGTGTTCTTCACTTCTTGTTCAGCCTCCTGCAGGTGTTTTATTTCGTCTTTTAGATTTCCCTGTTGTACAGAGATAAAAAATAAAACAACATTTATTGCTATTGCTTTGATGACAACTAACTTAACTTTAACAACATGTACTGCGTACCTACAGTTTATATGGTGTTGTATAGAGACCACTTACCCTGAGCTCTCTCTCTGCCTCCCTGATGCTGATGCAGACGTGGTCACGGTGGGAGCCTATGACCGTACACACCGTGCACACACACACTCCACACTGCCGACAGTATATACGGTTTATCTCCTGATGCTCCTGGCACCTCCAGGGGGAGAAGTCCTCCATGGGGGGAACCAGGGTGTGATTCTGGAAGACAGGGGAGTCCAGGTGGGGACGCAGATGCTCTGAACACATGGAAGCTCCGCACACCAGACAGGTCTTTACAGCGGGCTGGTGCCTCATTTTAGGGCAGTAATGGCAGGGCACAGGGCTGGCATGTTTGCCCTCTGACTCCGGGGAGTACCCAGTACGATATGGGGATACTGGAGCAACAGCAGGAGGTTTGGAGGATATCAGGGGAGGCCTGCTGACATTGTGTACAGGAGACTTCCCTGGAGTGGAGACTCCAGGGAAGGAATCTGAGTTGGCAGACATGGCAGGTTTCCTTGGCGATGCATGAATTGTGGCATGTGCGCCTATCTTGGGGGTTGCAATGGCGGGTGCATCACATATATCTACTTCGTTGGAGGTGTCAGAGTCATCCATTATGACGACTTCTTCGTATTTATGCTGGTTCTGCTGGGTTGAGATGTCATCATATGGCACATCACGTGAAAGTACTGAGTTGCTGTCAGAATTGTCACCGGAGGATGTGCCTTTACCATAATCAGACTGTGTGGATTCTGGTTGCACTGCTTTCTTGGATGTCTCCCTACTAGTCGACTGTGCAGGTTTATCTGAGAAGGAAGTGCTGGGAGTCTCTGGGTCGTTGGACCGCTCAAGTGGAGACGCCACAGTTGATCGCTTTGTATCAGGTTGCTCTGATACAGGTGTGCTCGCTTTTCTCTTCCCAAGAAGTCTGCTGGTGAGTGAGGGCCTCCGCAAATTCTCATTTGTAGTTTGTTCAGCAGTTCTCGAAGTGCCTTTTTAAATAGAATACAAACAAAGAAATATTTGTTAGAGGGAGGGTTGACTAAGTATTCCTGAACAAAAACATCTGCATGCTGCCTTCTGTCCAGCATAACTCATACTACCTACTGAGCAGTTCCACTTTATTCAATCTGAGTAGTTATCATCTAATTCAATTCTCTTTTGTTTGTTACTATGCCGCCTTGTGAGCTCACTTTGTAAAGCTGTCAGTCAAAGTCTACGGTCTGCGATAACTGACTAACATGAAACTGATACATAAGAAACTGTATTTACTGTGGTTAGGTAATGGCATGGCTGGTACAGTACCTGATACACTTAATAAAAGGTCAGTATCAACATGGATACTTATCATGGATTTCGGATTGGTGTAACCTTTAAACTGGTATAACTTGAAATGACTGTCAGTTAAGCATTAGTCATAAGCTGTAGAATACAAATATTTAATTAGAAAGAGGTGAATAAGAAAGAAAAAACATGCCATTTTATGCTAAAAACACAGGGAAACTGAATCACTCCACACTATGAGCACCTCAGACATGTTTGTATCAGACCTTAACCCTCACTGTCTATTTGCTAATGAGAACTATAAACTTTAGAGAGATAAGATTTAGCCTCTGACCCCTGAAACAAACACGACATGAAATCACACAGGAGTGAATGCATAAAAAAATAAGCAATTTTAACTGCCTCTTTATTTACAAAACGTTGAGGATGTTGTGGGATTGGCATTTCCGGTAAGGAAGGAAGCTAGAGAAAATAATATATTAGCGTGCCAAATTAATGAATAGTTGTTTAGCTTTTGGCAAGCACTTAAACAAAAAAGCTAATCAAAACTAAAAGTAACGTAGCTAGTCTTTTCAACAGGGACATGCCAGTTTGAGTCATCTTACGTTGCCTTACGTTTATGTAACACATGGGAAGGAGACCTCTCACGTTAGCTAAGTTAGCTAGCTTTAACTGCTGCATTCGCTACTTAATTATCCTTTATTCTAACCACACGTTAACAACCATAGTTGCCATAGTTTCAACGGTACCTGCAGTGTTGCGAGGCTGAGCCCAGCGGTAGTTGCCGGGCAGCAGTTTGCCATCAAACGGCATAGTCTTGTACACAGTTGTGCACCTCCACTCCGGACAGTGGTACGGTCCGGTCGGGGTTACACTCCACAAGTCTCCGATGCACCGCGGGCAGAAATGGTGGTTACATCTCAGAGTGACGGGTTCCCGGGTCAGCTCGTTGCACAGGGGACACTTCGTCGGGGTGTCCAAGGAAGCTCCCATTTTGTTAAGATTGATTTGTAGTTTCTGTTTCCGCCTATGTCGAGTTACAGGAGGCGGGACTTCATGTTTGAATCCCGCTCCCCCTCCTGGTAGGAGAAGCCCCTCACTGCAGTGCGCAGTACCACACGCCCCTCCTTCTCAACCTCAAGATCGCCCCTCCTTCTCAACCTTTGAGACACGTGACGGGACGGCCCCTGCTTCTCAACCTTTGAGGCACGTGACGAGCTTCACTGATGACGCGTTGCATCCTGTTTCCGGGGTAGCAGTTCTCTTCCCTCCCTTCAATCTAACCCTTCCCTTCCCCCCATCCTAACCCTAACCACTCCCTACCTTTTTACCTAATCCTAATCTTCCTTCCTCCTCCCAAACCTAAACCCCAAAACCTCTCCTACTGTAAGAAATTAAAATCAATGTTGATATGACGTAATTTAAATTAAATACAGGGTTTTAATATAAAGCAGTTTTATTCTGAAAAAACCGGAAGTTCACACTAACTATTAACTTAACACTTTTATTCTGAAAATTCTTCATTTCCGGTTAGCATTAGCATGTGGCTAACGTTTTGAAAACCGTGAATTGAAGGTGAAATGAGATGTGATGTTGCACACTAAACACACTGGGATTAACACTCATTTATTGACGCTGAAATAACGTTTATCAGGGAATGTGTAAATAACCACAGACATCAGAATTATATATATATTAATAATATAAGATATAATATGTTACTTTTGTGACTGGGTAAGTACACAACACGGGAGTCGGGACGTCACGTGCCTCAAAGGTTGAGAAGGAGGGGCGTCCCGTCACGTGCTCAAAGGTTGAGAAGGAGGGGCGATCTTGAGGTTGAAAAGGAAGGGCCTGTGGTACTGCGCACTGCAGTGAGGGGTACTACCCTGGTGGTGCTTGTCTTAAAGGGACACCCACATTGAATGGGGGAGCAAGTAGCCTACTGTAAGATATTTTGATTTTGAACTAAAGCACTACTAAAAGAATACCCCATTACAGTCCTGCATTCATATACAATGGTACCAACGTGTTGCAACAAAATGTACTTAAAGAGTACAAAATAAAGGGTAAGCATTAGGTGCAACAAATAATGGCTAATAGTGGTATTTTCTTAGTTCCCTTCTCCCCCCACAGCATTCCTGTATTTTTGATGGTCTCATAGGGTGGTCTAGACATGTGACTTGGATAAATGCTATTGTTTCGTGTGAGTTAGAGGTTAATCTTTCATAATCTCAAAGACGTTTTATCTTTCAAAGAGACTCTGCTCTTGCTTGTGTTGCCTGGAAATATGAAGTAAGAGTTGTGACTGTAACAGCTACATTCAAATGTTGTGCTTTGACTTTAGGGTCATGGAATTTAAAGGTTAGTATTAAATAAGAAGTACATTTGAAAAATGTTATTCCCACATTACTATTCCATCAATAAACTCTCTTGCTTTCAGACCGTGGCATCATCCAGTGGCCTGTCTTGCATAAAAGAGAAACCAATTCAGCCTTAAAGTATGTGGCTCTCCTTTTCCAGACAAATACATTTTGAGTGATTGTCAGTGTCAAAAGAACATTTATTTCAATATATCTATCTTATATTATCATATTACAATACATATATTTTAATCAGATAATCAGACTTAGAATGTTTTTGTTCTTGAAACCATTTTATTTTTTAACACAAATACTTTGTTGTCATTATCTCCTAATGTAACTTATTTTATTTCCTGCTATGTGTTCTTCAGCTTCTTAAACAAAGTCATTTTAGTTGGTGATGCATTATTGCATAATTTCTCATCTTGCAAAGTCATCATTATTTTTAAATGTCCAACTTATTCTGACTTTTGGTTCATAGTGTCAAACTGGTCGTGCTCGGAAAACACAGGATCCTACATTTCCCAAAATGCAAGTTGATCAATCTACAGAGGACTTTACTTAAAGGGGAGTCGGGACCTGCAAAATGCACTTTTTGATGTCTTTTATACATAAATATGTGTCCCCGGTGTGTCAGGGAACTCACGCAGCGTCAGAAAATAAAACCCTCTCTCTTTTCCTCCGTACCCAAATCTCTAAAAACGGGGGTACAAAAGAGCTGATCCAGATTTGCGTTTTTTTTTTAAAGCTTTCTACCCCAAATCAGCACTTTTAAAACAGGAAATGAAATAGAGGGATATGAGGCATGGGTGATCTGTTTGGTATTTTGAGCAAAACAATTCATAGACATGTTTTTTATATATTTTTATATATCTGAGACCTATGCTATTGCCTAAAAATAGCATGATAGGTGCACTTTAAATTTATCACAGGCTGAGTTGTACTTAACTTTATTAATAATATAATAATCATTTGGAAACATCACTTTTGTCAAATAAAGACACACAACAGAGATGTACAGTGAAAACCTTTATTAAGTGTTCATAATTCATATATTCTTAAAGGAATCTCTTTACTGGTTCTAGATTAACCTCCTCCATATTTGCTAATTGTTTGGTATCTATAGAATATTTATTTACACAGAAAAATATCCACAGGTGACGCTGGGACAGCCTTACTTATCCATAACCACCACTTTTCACTCCTCAGGCAAACCAGTCACTATACATTATACTCCAACTCCATCATGTTACCCTGTATGTCCCAACAAAACAAAGCGAGTAAAAGGGGAGTTAAAGAGAGAAAAACGGAAAGAGGGAGCTGGAGACAATGACAGAGACACACACATTTAGCTACACAACAGAACAATTGTGTGTGTGAGGCTGGCATATTGGTTCTTTAGGCCAACTATAATAGCACATTCACACCAACACTCACATGTGCATGCACTCACTCACACTCACTCACACACAAACAGACCTTCCATACACACACACATACAGAAGCACACTCACACAGCGGCTATGAGTCCTGCAGCACACAGTCCTTATAGCCCCATCACAGTGTAGATACCAGAGACTATAAAATATCAGATTTCTTCTCAAACTGAAGCGCTGTGCAAATTTAGCTAGCAGGGCATTGAATGGATTTAGTTAAAATTCCTAGAACATCTTTAATATTCACTGTACATACTTTTAAATACAAGTTTTTTTCTCTTTTAGATGATAATATTCTTGTACAAAATATCTTAAATATTTTTTTTCTTCCATTAAATGAAGTAGAACAATGGGGTGTATGAGCAAAAAAGAAACTTCAATCTTTCATTGTCAAACTTTACATATGAAACACAATAGATTTACATCAACTCGATAATATCTGAAAATGAGCAGTTTCTTTTTTTTCTCACAAATAAAACATGACACACATTCTGACGGTGGTACACACGGCTAAGTGTTAAAATAGTTTAATACTTGTAATTACAGAGTTTTTCAATGTTTTTCTTCAAATGTACTGTATGTGCGTTGAGCTGTGTTTGTGCATATGAGTGTGGTGGCTTGTGTTTGTTTGTGTGTCTGTGTGTGTCTGTGCTCGTACTGCAGGTGTACAATGTCAACCCTGTGCCTTCTCAGGTAGGTAATGGGAAGTCTGTATACTTCTCGGTAGAATAACAGTCTCTGCCCCTGCCATGGTCTATGCAATGTTGTGCAAGGGTGAGGTCTGTAGACACATTGGGGTAGAAGTGCATCGGGCTCCATCTAAGTGCTGGGGACGATTCGGGGACGGCAAGCAAAATGGATGGACTTTGAGGGTAGGGTACACTGGGTATTTGGCAGGTTGATGTGAAAGGCAGGCTGGCTGGTTCCACAGAATTCCTCTCCTCCACAGAACTGGATGGCCTCTCTCCGCTAAGCTGATGTTGAGGGTTGACGGGTACTTCATGAAAACAGACACATGGAAATTCAGGGACCTGAGGGAAAGAGAAATATTTTATTTTTTGCAAAAATGCATTTATTTCCGTGAGTGCTTTGTTCTTTACTTGAGTTTTTCTTTTTCATACTACTTTAAATGCCTGCTACATTTCATTGAAATGGGAACTATTGTTTTTTCTAAACTCAAGTCTTAAAATCTAATTATATTGGTCAAAAAGGCAATTTGCTTAGTACATTTTCCGGAAAATACTCTTTTAAAGGTGGGGTAGGTAGTTTTGGAGAAACCAGCTCGAGTGCGCTAGAATTTGAAAATACACAGCCGGAAAAAAATCGCCCACTTCCTTACAGAGCCCCTCCTCCAACACACACGCACACGCACATGACCAATGAGGGCACGAGATAAGTTTGTGCACAGATGGAAGGCTGACAGGCAGGTAGGCCATCCAGTTATTTTAGCCGGGCCGGCTCAGATGATTGGTCGTGCTTTTTACAGTACTACGGCTTCCACAAATGAATATTTTTATGGATTTTTTGTCAAAGCACTTCAGATATTCATTGCTATCGGGATGTTAAGAGCATTCCATGGAATATAACAAAAAGTGTATCTCGAGCCGGTTTCTCAAACTTACCTACCCCACCTTTAATTGAGCAGAAATATGTATGTAGCAAATGTAAGAATTATGTAATTAGTAGTTTTACTTGAGTAGACGATGTGATTATTCCTCTACCACTGATATAAATGTAGTTGTACTTTTATTTGAGTATTGAGTATATTTCAGAGTAAAATATTGCTATTTTTTTCCATTACATTTACTTGAAACTGACGATACACTGTGGTATTTTATTAAAGTATCTGAGTACTTGTTTTACTGTCTGTTGAAGGGGGCTACAGGAGTAAAAGAGTGATGAAGAGTGTCAATTATAAAATGAATTGACACTTTACTGGGAATGTGGACACATCTCATGGTAATCAAATATAAAAGAACATTGATGATGATGATGGCCGACATAAGGTCATTGACTGATAGATGGACATATCTAAAGATGATGATGATGTTCATTATGTTAGACTTTACTTACCTTAAGATTTTGGTTAGGCATTGCCTCCCTCTGCAAAAACATAAACACAGAGTAAAAGATAAAAGTGCTAACACGGTTCTCAAGGTCGGGCTATTATTAGACTCCCTTGTTCACATCCTTCCCGATGACTGGTTGGGTGTATTGCACAAAAACACCAGTAGATGGCACCAGGGATGAGCTGAAGTGTATTTAACTGTAGTAAAATATTCATAATAATAGATTTCCCAGAGCCCTAAACCAAGGAATGGTTAATCAATGAAGCAGAGAGGCTTTTGATTGACTAGTTAAGTTATCAATCTTAGCATTCGGAGTTTCACCTTTTAGATCTTCATCTTGTTTT